CAATCACATGTGAGCTAATTAATAAAACAAAATAAGAAGATCTGGTTAAATGTTTGCGTTTTCACAAAAAATGACAAACATGTTTACAGCTTCTGTCGTTAGCTTAACGGCCGTTATCTGACGCACACAAAGCAGAAACGTAGTTTAACTACTCTTAAAACTACAATAAAACTTCTGAAATTCACAAAAACAACGAAGGATTACTCATAAAAGCTAATAAAATAAGAAGATATGGTTAAATATCTGCTTTTCGCAAATATGACAATTGATTTGTTTAGCTTCTGTTGGCTCAGTGGCCATCATGTAGTCTAGTACGCAACTTATACACAGAATTATTATCTCTAACTAATCATAAAAACTATATTAAAATGCTTCTGAAGTTCAGAATAACAACAAGGGATTGCCTCTAAAACGTCTTAACAATGTACTAGCTAGAAATAAAGAATGTTTTGATCATTTACATGAAAATAAGGGGGAATGAATCAGGACTGATTTTCAGTCACTCTTTGAGAGGACAGCTCAAAAGCCCCCTAGTGGTGTATGTGGCCATTACAGCCTGGCTCAAATTCTGTTAAAAAAAGTTACATTAAGTATCATTTACTGCCCTATTTTTATCAGAAAAATAACCAACAGATTAATGCTACATTTTCTGATGTTAAATTGTGCAGAAATTAATTCAGAATTCTGAAATTCAGAATGTGGCAATTATTTTTATCAGATTTAAAAAATGAATGTAAGTTGCAGCCATAGTATAGATTGTAATTTTCTTAAATATAATGATGCAAGACATTGGTCCCAACATAAATTTTCTTTTTATATTTTATATGAAATAAATTTATATTTATTCTAAACCTTTACTTCTGTTTTTTCCTCTTGTAACTTGGCGGTGTACTGTATTTATAATAGTTGTCCGACCTTTCTCCTCTGCAGCCCAGCAGGAGAGGCGTGTCAAAGGCAGACTCTGCAGCGATGCTCCTTTCTCAGGAACGGGACACTTGGACTCGGGAGAAGCTGCGTCTGGAAAAAGCTTTGCACCTGTCTCAGTCCCAGGTGGCTCGTCTCACGGGAGAAATTAGGTCCGACGCGCTGCGAGAGATAACCGGGCCTGACGCTGACAATTCTGCACTCAAGGTGAGAAAAGTAAGGCTGAGACACAGATTTCACCTGGACTATCAGCTGTTTACCACAAGCTTGTTTCCGACTCTTCTCCTCTGTCGGTCCTGCAGAGGATGTACGGGAAGTACCTGAGGTCAGAAAGCTTCAGGAAAGCGCTGATCTACCAGAAGAAGTATCTGCTGCTGCTGCTTGGCGGCTTCCAGGAGTGTGAAGAAGCCACTCTGTCGCTCCTGTCCAAGATGGGCGGCCGGCCTTCGCTCTCCAGCCTGGAGTTGTTCAGCCAGCGCCGCCAGGGATTAAGCCGCTTCCGCTCAGCCGTCAGGGTGTCCATCGCCCTCTCCAGGTGGGCCGTTTGCTGCGGAGGCTCACGACTGTGGACTTATAAAGGAACTGAATGGTTGACTGAATGCTTTTCTTACGTAGAATGCGTTTCCTTGTGAAGCGATGGCACAAGGCGACGGGGATGAGCTCCACGGCTTCCTGCAACATCAGCAAAAACGGAACAGGTCAGAGAAACAGACCGGTAAAATTATGCCGTTTTGCTTTTCCTGAAGTAATTTTAGGATGAATTCTTATGGTTTTTAAAATCTTTTTCAGGTTCAGATGTGAGAGACTCACCATATCTTCACCCAGGTAGTGTGGACATGTACAGAGACAGAGGAGCAGGAGGAGGAGTGTCCAGCAGCAGAGGAAGAAGTGGGCGGGAATCTCCACGGTCAGGCGTCTCTTCCTCACACCACAGGTAAGATAATACTTAATTTATTCAATTATTCAAATAATGAACTAATTTAGTCGCAGATTAAATGTTAACTGGAGAAAAAGACCATCAGAGCTGTAATTAGGCTACATTACAAAAAATACCTAAATTTTGCATTTAAAATAACAAAAAACAACTTTTTCTGTAAATATGTCCTACCCTGAACTCAAAGTAGTTTTAACTTCACAAGGTTCAAATTTTGTAAACAAAAAATGTAATAAAGTAAAACATCAAGCTTCTTTTGCTATCCAATTATGAATCAGTTTATCCAAAATATAAATGAACAGAGCAGCTGTATTGATGTTAAATCAACCAAAAAACAGTGAATTTTTCACATCTTTATGTTAAAAGTGTCTTTTAGCTGCAGATGCTTTTATGTTATTGCATTTTAGGAGATAAAATAATTATTATTTGTTTATTTGCATAATTTAGAGTATCTGTAATATTCCATAAAAAGGCCTAAGTGGTTAAATGAGAAATGTGCAGATTAACAATTTAATCGTCAGATTAGTAGATCAAATAATCTATTACTACTTTAATCATTAGCTAATACAATTCCTCAACATTAAATACAGATTATAATCTATTTTCTTTTAGGATATTTTGGTGTTTTTGTATAATTAGTTAACCATATAAATTGGATGCTGGTTTTGATATTGTCTCTGTATTTTCAGTGTTTTCTGGATATTTTGATAGTAAAGTGAGTACAGCTGTGACATGACGCACATAAGTTTTCAGATCTTATGTTAAATTTATCATTTCCATTCTGGTTCTGAATTATTCTCGTCTTCGTGTGAAGTTTTAAAGCTTAATAAACACTTATTAAACCTCAAAGTTATCAAATAATTTTAAGCCTTTAACACATTAACATTCAAATACAAGTTGATGACATTTTTTAAAAAATGTTTTTCTTTGTGCAGGTTCCACACGGCGGGGGATCACGGCGCTCTGACCTGTTCTCACCTGCAGAGCTACGACCCGGACCGCGCGCTAACCGACTACATCTCCAGGCTGGAGGCTCTGCAGAGGAGGCTGGGCGGCGTGACATCAGGTAACCGGCACCGCGCATCGCACTGAACCAAACAAACATCTGAACTCATGTAGAGACAAGTTTGTTCATGTGTCAATCCTTTTAAGTTTTAAATCTTCGCATGGATATTTTTGCTTATTTTAATTGTATGAAGTTTTTTGAAGGTCCTGTGAGTAAATATATTTGCGAATGTATCCACATCTTGCAAGTTATTTTCGCAATTTACCGTCTATTTACTGACTTATGAAAGTAAATCAAAGTAAAATGCTCCCTGCAACAGCAGGAATTAAATTACTGTAATAACCTGATATTGGCTGAAAAGTGCAACGTCTCCCCTTTCAGAAACCGCTGGACATTTTCAGATAGCACAAAATATCTCAGAGTTATGTTACCGCAAAGATGGCTTCTAAAAATGTGGCGACGCCTTTCAGTTGATAAGGGTCAAATATCATACCGACATAGCATCTTACGCCAGATTGACACGATCGTCTCTTTACTCCCACAGGTGCTTCTTCATACGCTCAATTGCACTTTGGCTTGAGAAGATAGACGCTGACCGACTACTTTGGCTTGAAGAAACTCAGTTGCCTTTTCTCGTGCGGAGCGCTCTGCTGTTTTCTATCATCCTGCTGTGAACTGTGTCTCTCCACATGGACCAAAACACATTTTTATATTAGCGTACGACTTGTTGTATCCAGGCTTTGTGTCGCCGGCACTTGAAACACAGCGATGTTTGTAATTTAATCTGCCTCTTTGTTGTGGATGATCTTCAATCATGTATATTTGTCTGATGCTAATTTAAAGACGTTTCGTGGTTAATTTATATGTTTGTTGTTGCGTGGGTGAAGCGTTGCGTTGAGAATGTTTGGGTTTACTGTTGATGAGGCTGCTACTGGATGTTCTTCACTACACTGTGTTTTGTTTAGACTGGGCAGACTAAAGGGAGACATTTGTAGAGAACGTATTTTTGTAAAGAGTAGGAGCTTTGAATTTTTGGGGTATTTTGTCAAAAACTGAAAATAAAGAGGATTACATTATTTCAAAGGGGTTTCTGTTGTTTTGTTTCAGCTATCAATTAAAAAGAAAAACAATGCTGTACTGATAGCTGTGCTAACGATATTTTTAAACATTTCCAGAGATAAAGTTCAAGATGCATGTCAAAAAATGCAGTCAAAAACAATCAAAGCCGAGAGGAAGGTCTTAGCGCTGTCAATCAATGCTGAAGAGACAGCTTACCATTACAGGAAAACCATTTATCCACCATCATCGGTGGCTATGCTAACTAGCCTTAGCTTTTGTGGCAGGCTATGTAGTGGTGATCCAACTGTAGTGAAAAGAGACCAAAGGGAAGGGAGTGAACACAAGAGTGATTGACAGCGCATCCTCTGGACTCTGATTGGTTGTTTATCCAGCAGTTTATTTCCACTGTTAGTATTAGGAGAAGATGATGAACTTTGTTTTTTTCCCCCAGATTATACTGTCACAACAATAATAATTTTAACAAATATGTAAAAAAATATTTTAATTAAAGTTATATAGTGCAAATTCAGTCTAAACCTGTGACAACTACTATAAACTTTAGATTGTTTTTGAGACCTTTTGGCCTACCTCATTCTGTTACCTGGGTTCCAATGAAGTGATTATTATTTCTACCAGTCAGAGTGATAAATTAGTTTTTGTTCATTTTTTCCCCCTTAAATAAGTAAAATAGTACTTTGTCCCTCCTTTCCTGGGTCTTGGACGCGTCAGGCCCGAAACGTCTCAACTGGCTCCTCCTGATTTGGAGGCTCTGCTCTCGAGTTTTTAATTTCTTTACATAACTATTTAATGTCATTTATTCATGTTTTTGTGTTTCGCGGGTCTTTTCCTCAGGGAAACGTTTGAGTCGCACCCAGACCAAGGAGGCTACCGTTAGCTAGCTGCTAACATAGCCTAGCTAGTTTTCTAACGTCTCCCAGGTAAGTGCAAATAGGTCGATATTGTTAAGAATTAAAAAGATGAAGAACTTGATCTTAGCTCGTTAATTAATTCTTAGTCCCGAATTCCTGTGTCTGTGTAAGTGTGCAGAGAGAAAAGAGCAATCATACGACGTCAGACTTCAGATATTCAGAGTTTTATCCAGAGAAAATCAATCCAAGAAGAACTTTACAATAAGCCTCTCACCTAGAATATCAAAAGTCCAAGATATTACAAAACAGAGACAAAGAACTGAGTAAAAAAGACAAAAGTATAACAGAAGATGCATCCTCCGGGAAAACTCTCACTCAGCACAAAGAGATTCCAACTTCTGCTGTAAACCAAATCATTTTATAGAATGCGTAATCTCCTCATTTAAATATATGCATTAGGAGGTGTTCTTTTCCTTTGTGTGGGCTGTCTCAATGTTAATTTTATTACCTCCTGCTAAAGAGCCCCAAAAGCAGATATACGGCAAACCCTTCTCGTATCAGCCGCTGTCCAGTTTGATATATGATTGCAGCTGCAGCGCTATCTGTGCCTCAAAATGTTTCCACAAGAAAGTAGTTTGTATTTTTAACCAAGCTTGCACACAATGTAATGCTAAATAATGACTATAAGTTTGGATCTAATAAGTAACTAATTAAAAACATGCTTAAAGAAATATAGTTAATTCTAATATAGATAAAATTATTTATAAAAAGTTTTAAGATCCTAGTGAACTTTTGAACCATGCTAAGGAATTTGTTAATTGCTGGCAGACAGACTCTGTCTAAAGAGATTCTAGGCCTGTCTTTTCTGTAGAATCCTCCCTAAGAATTTATATAAGTTCAGAGATTCAGCAGTTGTTTTAGTTTGGATCTTTATCTCAATTTATGTGAATGTAGAGTGTACTTTAACTTTCTATGGTATATTTCATATGTATCAAAACTATCCTGTGCAGTATTGTGCTAATTTAAAATATTATTTCAACAATATTCATAAATTTTTGTGGAGATATAAGTCTTAAAATTATTCCATAATACCCTCTAAAAGTCTTACATTTGTTTGGGAAACATGCAGAAAGCTGTCTCCTGAAAAATGGACAAAATCACTAATAATTTTCGGGGAAACCCCAGTAGCATGAGCTAACGCTATTTATAATGAGAATGTTTATTCAGTTAGTGGGGGGGAAAAATCTCACTTCAGGAAATTGTTTTTCATAAAAAACGTTTTATTCAAACATTTAATTGGTAATGACTTCCCGTTACCCGGTGTTAAACACAATTTGACAAAGACAATATTCTTATTGTTACTCTTCAAAATGGCAGACAAGTCGGCAAAATATACGTGTTGATTTTAATCAGTCAGAAAATGGCAAAGATAGGTTATTTTGTCTCAAGGAAAAAAATTAAAGTTAGAAATAACTTAAAATGAGACAAAAAAAAATTACCCAATTTTATCCCACTACCAGGCACGTGAGTTGAAGGAATGAGGATAGCTGTGATAGGAAAGATCTTCTGTAGCAGTCTGTATTACAGTGCATTTGAAGAAGCCTCTGACTGAAGACACTCAGTTTTTCTATGACATGATGAGGGTTTACATAGTGAGGAAAACGTGAGTTAAAATGTGAACTAGAAGCATGTTCTCCTTGTGCATGGATGAGTTTTTTCCCTCCTCTAGAAAATTAATTTCAGATGTCAGAAATTAAGCGATTGTAGAGACGCTGTTAAGGAAGACGGTTACTTTTCTTCCCATATGATTTCCACTCATGAAAACTCACAATAGCTTTGTGGAGCGTACAAAGGAAGCATCGAAAATGATGCTGACATTCTAGACTTCAGACTTACTGCAGGGCTGACACTGGGAGCATAAATCTGTATTTCCTTCCAGTCCCAGGATGTCAGAACTTCAATTAAAACCAAACCAAGAAGTTTATGAAAGTCTTTGATTCTCTCTTCATCTACCCTCCGTCTCTCACTGCTTCCTCCTCTTGTATCTGATGACGGGGTTATGCGGGGTGTGAATCATCGTTGTGTAGTTGATTGAGGGGAAATATCCATCCACCAGTTCAAACTCGTACATGCGCAGCAACGTGGACCAGATGGTTTTGATCTGGACGTAGGCGAAGTTCTCCCCAATGCAGCGGTGGCGACCTGAAGATGGTAGAGGATGGCAAGGGTTACACAAAGTGTTGCAAGTTATCGATTAATGAGTTAATCTAAAGTTAACTAAATATTCATTTGTGAGCAGCCATTTTCTTAAATATTTGAGTTTATTCATAAAAGTTTCAAAATGGCTTTCCACAATGTAAAGGGCTATACTTTTCATTTTAATCAAATAAACCATTAATTGATAATTTATTGTAAGTAGATTAATTGTTATGCAGACTCAGAGGAGTAGTGGTTTAAAAGTCATCACTGTGGTTCCTCTTACCGGCGCCAAATGGGATGTAGGCGAACTTGTCGGCAGTGTCGTTGAGGTACCGCTCTGGCCGGAACTCCATCCTGTCCATCCAGGTGTCGCGCAGGCGGTGGTTGACGGTTGGGGAGACGCAGACCTGGTGGCCGACGGGGATGGTGTATCCTGCAGCAGTCTAAACAGACATGTGGACACTTGTTTTGGCATTAATGTTCCTTAAACAGGATTTGGAAGTAATGAAAGCATGTAGAGACAGAAGTATAGGTGATCTATAAGTGCTGGATTCACCTGAGGTGTGCGAGCCATCCTCATCATGGTCATTATAGGTGGCCGGAGCCTCAGTGTCTCCTTCAGGCAGCGCTCCAACAAGTTCAGATCCTTCAGCTGAAAAACAGTAACATTGGAGACCGGTCCAATTAAAGTTATTTCTGGCAGGTCTTATATGAATCGAATATGGATGTCGTTAATAAAACCGAGTCGTTACTAATTGGCTCTGACCTGATCAAAGTCGAGCGGAGGCAGATCTTCTCCACACACGGCCTTCTGCTCGGCGTAGCAGTGATCCTGCAGAGCTTTGTCCCGGGCCAAGAAGAACCCCAACCAGGCGCTGGTGGTAGACGATGTGTGCTGACCCGCCAGGAGGAGACCAATCAGCATCCCTGCAATTTCATCATCGGTCAGCGGCCGACCATCTCTGCAAAGTGAAATTAGTTTAGTCCAAATGTTCTGTTTTGGTATTTTAAGATAAACTGTCTGTAGGTATAATGGTATCTCACTTGTATGTAGCATCGATGAGAGTCTGCAGGATGTCGTCGGTTGTCTCTCCAGATTTTCTCCGCTTTTCAATCACCTTGTAGAAGATGTTCTTGATCTCTCTATGAGCTCTGTCTCGTTTCCTAAAACAAAAAATAATTACCAAGCAGGATTTAGGCGTCTCTCGGTCATTTTAGACAAGTACCTCAGTGGCAGATTAAACACTAAACGTGCAGCTAACCCTTACTACCTGAAGCTTGGGAGAGGAACCCAGGTGGGCAGAAGCCAAGCGGCGTGGCTGAACCCCCCGTCCAAGTCGGTGTAGAGCTGAGCCACTTGTTCATTCAACATGCTGCGGATCTCCTTCCCATGGAGGCATGAGCTGGCGGTCAGGATGATCAGCTCCGAAAACGCCTCAAACAGATCTGATGCATGAAAAGAATTTAAAGGGTTAAAACTCGTTGGGTCTTATTCATTTTCTGCAATTCCAACTCAGGCATATCTATCAAATTTGGGCTTGAATTATCCAACTATAAAGCACAGACTCCTGGAGAACAATTTGTGAATTTTGGTACATTAACTGTGAAAATTCAAACAGCAATTTCAATGGTTTGCTTTTAAGATCATAGGTGCCTTTTAAGCCATGATCTAGTGACAAAATAAAATCAGCCAGTAAAGCAATAACCAAAATAATTGAACTTTAAAGAGGCAGTTTATGGAAATTTTAAAGAGTTTCTCTAGGTTAATTAAATAATTTTAATTCTGTTTTTGTCAGATAAGGTTTGCCATTTTGCAGATGACACCATTGTTTCTTTACTCAACTCCATTTTGTGGCATGTCATTTCATTGTAGACCATACATCTTGTTAAAAATTCAGATTATATTTTCAATATATTTGCACCCAATGCACATATGTATAATAAGACTTCAAACAGCAAAGCAGCTTACTTCTCTCTCCACTGTCTCCCCATCTCCTGAAATAATCAACGGTTTCTGTCTCAATTAACTTCACATGCTCTTTAAAATGAGCAATGTTCAGTCCAGTTTTCAGCATCTTTTTCTGCTCCAGAAAAATCTGCAACAGCACAAAAGAGTCATTAAATCTAAACTCTGATTTCATGTTGACCTCTAAATCACTTGATGTAATCTCACAGGGTTCGGGACGTCGTATGCTACTCCTTTCCCGAACACTGGGGTCGTCAGTTTGGAGTAGACGTCTTCTGCGTTCAGGTCTTCATTCTTGCTGTTGAACATAAGGGTGGCCGCGTCACTGCCCAGCAAGTAAGTGAAAGTTTTCCCCACCATGGTGAAGCTAAACACGGGACCATACTAGAGGGAGTGAAACAAAACTCAGTAAATGAATGAAAATTCTAATAGAAAACTGAAGTAATGGTTGATTTATTATAATGTTTTGGCTGAAACTCAGGCTTTTGGTTGGACCAAAGTACCGTAAAAGCAGGTTTGCTTGTTACAACTATATTGCTTGTTACAACTATATTATTAATGCCTTTGGCAGAAAACAACAACGTTCTGCCATAAAATTGAGATAAAACTGATTTCAAAAGTCTCCTAAATAAGCAATGATGTCCAACTGAAAATGGCACATCATGAGGAAAAGTGAGCTACATTATTTAATTTCCATTTCTTTTGGTTTATACATCACATAAAATCTCAACAAAAGCATTTAAATTTGAAGTTGTAACGCAAATTAAATATTTGACTCTGCATTGCCTCAAAGTTGACACGTTTCTTACTTAAATATCTATAGTTTGGACGTACAGACAATGATGTTGGATCAATACTTACTTTTTCATAAGCATTTTCCAGGAATTCAATTGGACTTTTTCCAAAAGCAATGGCATGCCCAAGGAATGGGATGCTGGAGGGGATGTGTGGGGGATATTTCTGTAACAACAAAACATCAATTATAGTTAATATAAACCTGATTTTTTTTTTTTTTTACAGTTAAAACAGTTAATATTTAGCACAACTGCATATTACCGCGTCTTTGTCTTCAGCCTCCTTGAGCAGCCTTTTGGAGACATAACCCAAAGTCAGAGTGAACAGAGACGCAGCCAGAACCAGGGAGGTCAGGTTCTCGTTCATTTTACCCACTGTGTCCCCGAGCAGCGCGGAGCTCAGCTGGTAAAACTGCTTCGACATTTTCAGGCCCTCAACAACCACAGCGCAGAAAAGTTTCCTTCTCTCTCCGGCAGCTGAAGCACAAAGAGCCAGAGGGGCGTCCGACCGCGGAGTCTTATCCCTGTTCAGCTGGTCTGATGGTCTTCGCAGTATGGACCGTTGCTACCTGTCACTTCCAGTTCCGCCCCCGCCTGACCTTTTACGGGTTTTGATTGGCTGCCGGACACGTGTCAGTCAAGCAGCTGCGATTGTGATTGGTTGTTGGTACCTGAAGCGATGTCTTGCTATATGATGTCATGGCAGCGTCCGTTCGATGGAGTTGATTGACTTTTTGATCACTTTTCTTTAATAAAAGTGTATTCGGTTGATAGAAAACACGTCAGTGTCGCTTTTAGTTCGGGCTGATTCTGCCGAACCTCAGAACTGACCGTATCTTCCTGAAACGAGTCTTGTTTAATGAACTCGTCACCGGCCAAGTTAATGAGTAATCTGCCTGCTGCTGTGGACGTGATTTTACTGGTGTTTAAAAAAAACATTTGCAAAATTTAATTAAAGAAAAAAAAAAAGACAGTAAGGCATTCTTTAAACAACCAGTGTCAATCATATCCACAGTCGGCAAGTTTTTAGATGTATTTAGCTAACAAACTAGTTAAAGTCCATCAAAAATGTATCTACGACATAAAAACATAACATGTTTGTGCATAGTGGAATAGTGGGATTTTCTTGTTTTTACTGCAATACATTTATTCACATTTATTTACTCCTAAGGGGTCAGTGATGTTTTTTATATTATGTAGAGTCTTCTATTGACTTTGGTTAAACACAGATTACAGACAAATCTTCATATATCTGTTTATTAAAGCAAACATTAAATAATAAACCATATTTACGTAGATCCAAACGCTGGACTCATAATACACAAAGGCATGTCAGGACACGTAGAAGTCTGATTGTTGTACAAATTAAGGCTGTTGTGGAGAGTCTTTGTCCAGAACTATTGTAGTCAGATGATGAAGGTCAGTAGCAAGGATGTGCTTTCAGGTCTTTGGCAGATCTGGTTTCCGGAAATGTCCTCAGCCGTAGGCGTATTTATCCGTAGGGCCTTTATCAGTGTGAGTCATGTGTCCACTAAGTTTCATTAAAAGCTTCACAATTAGGCCCGCCTAGAAAAACACAAGGAACAAAAGGAAATCACTTTAAAGATAAAACTTTTCATCCTTCGCTTCGACTGGCATTTCAGGCTAAGGTTTTATCTGTTCTCTGAGCGGAGAACTCTAAAAAGTTGCACATCCAAAGTAAATTCGAAGGACGTTCAGATAAAATTTGAGCTGAAGTCAAAGCAAACAAACCACATGTTCCTGAAGACGACTCCAACGCCTGAAACCTGAACCCAGCTGAATCTCTAGATGCTCTGGAGCCGTTACCTGTTTCGTGTGCACGATGAAGTTCATTTTGTTGTCCCCGCTGTGGATCTGGAAGTACTGGTCAGCATGTCCGAGCTGCCACATGAACGTGCCATACTCCAAGCTGATGAGAAGGACCTGCGACAGAAAGAAAGAAGAAATTTATTGATTTTTTTTATCCAGTCAGTCATCAAATAACACTACAACAGTTTAAACAGCTTGACAGAAAATGTAAAGTCAGAGACACAAGGCTTTTATTGATGCCTGTCCTACACATCAAATTGAACTAAATCACTCCTCATAATCACTGCAATGTATTAAAATATATATACATAATTTTCTTATGGAAGTTACTCAGTCCAAAACAAAAAAATAATCAAATACAATAAAACAATTTAAAGTTATTTACACTTATAACCCTAACGCCCATGTTTGCTTTAGAAAAATACCTCTTTTTTTAGCTTGTTTTTTACATTTGAAACCATGTTGCAAATCATATTTGGATTCATATAATGTGAATATTTTTTGCACTACAAAAAATAGTTTACAGACAACATTTACAGAGAAGCAGCAACAAATGTGCACAAAATGTTTGGCTAAAGTGCACTGTTTTTGGTACCTTTGTCTCCATGTTCATGAGGTGCAGGCCCTTGGTGTTGACCCCGACGTACACTCGGATGACCTTGTGGTTGCTCGCGCTGGCCTTGGTGTAGACCTGGCCAGTGAAGAAAGCTGCTCCGTAGGTTGGGATATCCCAGCAGTTTTGTAAGAAGAGTCTCTGCAGGTGGTGCATCTCTTTGCTCACTCCCTCGCTGGTGCTCAGAGCCTGGTGGAGAACGATGGAGGGTTCAGCTTCGGGGAGGATTTTACGACTGACCCGAAATAATAAAAAAATAAAAATGTACTTTGTATTCATGCAGAATCCTGTTGGTCCAGTGGTACGCTTTGCTTTTCACCTTTAATATCGGCACGATTGACTTCAAGTTTTCCTCGCTGTTCAAGTAAACAAATTAGAGACGTTGCTTCAATAGCTGAACTTTAAATACCAGAGAAACACTGGATAATCATATGGAGTGGCTATAAGATGTGAAATCAGTCCTACTTGAGAAAGCCCTGCTTGTGCTTCTTGCTCTCATAGTTGCCATAGATGATCTGCAGAAGGAGGCTTGCCAGAGTAATCAGTTTACTGTCCGGGGCGGGAAAGTAGCCCTTCAGCAGGCAATGACGGGCCTCATCAAACAGGATGAGGATGGCCAGCGGATCTTCCACCTGATGTAAAACAGTGGCAGGTAAGGAACATTTACAGACAAGCAGCAACAAATGTGCACAAAATGTTTGGCTAATGTTAAAAAAACATTTATTTATTTTTTTTGCAATTACAGCGTTTCCATTACATAAGAAATTAAATTAAAATCACACATGAAAAAACTTGGTCACACAATAAGTCATTAAAGGGCATGAGAGCGATGGATGTAAATATTTCGACATTGGAGTAACAAACCCCCTGGACTTGTGAAAGACTATGTATATATGTGGCATTTTGGGGTACACTGTAAGAGTTTTGGATTCAACTTTTCAATGATAAATTTGACTTTTAGTGAACCTCTGGTGATGAACTGCATTTACAGAAATACAAATAAGCATGTTGCTGCATGGCGTTTCAAACCTGTGTTTTTGCAGTTTTGCGAAAACATAAATTTACAGCTGGAAAGCATTTATATAGGGTTATATTAGATTTTTAAAAGAGGAGAAAATTTCCACAAACCAAAACTCGGAAATTTCGACATTAAACTCTAAAATTTTGAAAGATTGAAAATTTCCACAAAAAAACCTCAAAATATTTTATATAAAATTTTCTAAAAAAAAATTTAAAAAAAACTTGGAAAGTTTTGCGTTTCAAAAGTTAATAAATTTGAGAACTTATTTTTTTCAGAAAATGTATAGCATTAGCATAAAATTTCATTGTTTTTGTTGCAAATATTCAACTTTTGGAGTTCAAAATTTTCCTTTTTTCTTTTAAGAAGGCCCGTAAAAACCACGTCATCCTAGTTTCAGTTTTTTCAATTAATATATCTAAGCAAATTTGTTTTTCATAATTCCAATTTTTCGAGTTTTATGGTCAGTGGAAATGCAGCTTCCGACTATCAAAGTAAAGACTGTAAACAGTAAGTTTAATTCAAACTCTGTCGTACCTTCTTCTCTATTTCAAGAGGCAGTCGTACGTCTCTGCGAAGGAAGAGTTGCGGACTTTCCCTCTGAGGATCCAGGACCGTCAAATCCGTCACAATCTCCGTCCAGATCCGCAGATGCTGCAGAGGTTTGTGGTACGGCTTCAGCTGCAGGTCTGACACACAAACACACACAAATCGTTCTGTTATCTGTTCCTGACAACACTTAACACGAATTTAACACGTTGATTTCAAATAAATAAATACACAGATTTTAAAACATTAACAAATGAAACCCAATTGATTGCATTTTCTTTTATTTTAAACAAAAGTCCCAACCTTTGTATTGTGTTTCTGGAACACCCGTAAATCTGACGCACAAGCGGAAACAACCACAATGGACGACAGGGAGTTAATTTTTGTGTCAAAAACAATCTTATATAAGATGCTAGAAAATAATATTGTTTGGTGTAAGTTGAGAAAATAAAGAGTTGGTCGTCACTGAAGTTATTCAAGCTAAAGATAGCAGCTCAATGCGAGCAGTATAGATACCTCCAATGCTAATGTTAGCGGCCAAATTCCTAAAAAAGTACTTTTTCACAGAAGTTGTACATATGTGATTGGAAACTACTGAAATTTGAATGGGAATAAAATCACTTCGCACCAGTAAGATGGATGAATAACAGATTAAAAATAATAAATACATTAGTTGTTGAGCTCATTTGCTTATTCATTCAATAATTTAGCAGCAAAAAGGTTTTCAAATAAAATTACATTAAAATTAATTACAGACCCCCACAATTAACTCAATTAAAACTTTTAGCCCCACCAGTATTAAAAACATTCAAACGTTCAAAGGATTGCATTTTTAATATACATTTCAAATCATCCAAGAGAAAACTATACATATTACATAGTGGCTATTAAAAGACGAAGGATGTGACTCACGGAGGTTTTCTGAGCAGATCCAAATGGTGAAGTACTGCTGGGTCTCCTGGGAAAGCCGCATGCCCTCCATTATCTGCTGCACAGTTGTGTTGTTGCCGTGTTTCAGCTCCACAGAGCGATAGGAGCCGTCCATGCGATATATCCGCACCTTTTCATACTGAAAAACACAAATAAGCAGTAAAACTTGTGGGTTAGCTTGAGACCGTTTTTGAATAAACAGCACCATCTAGTGGTTAAAACTGCTAAATTTCTTTACATTTTCAACCATGTAGATTTTAGACTGGCTTGAAAACGTATTCATACTCCTCAAACCTCAAAAGTTGAAAAAGTATGTAAATTATTCTGTAGTATTTGCACCTCTTAAACTGATATATTCCTCAAAAAAGAAAAAAACTCACTGGTTTGCTGTTAGCTTGCTGCAGAAGTTGTATTGTTTCCTCCCACTCATTCTGTTTGTTCTCCTCACACACCTGGAGTGGCGATCTCTTCTGCTGGTCCTCTATGTGCTGGGGTCAGAAAAGTCACCATAAGAATCGACTTTAAGACAAAAACAATAGCAGAAGGAACCACAGTTTCTGGTTTTCCTACCCGGTCGATCTCCGGGTGCTGCAGGAGGAGCTTCACTATCTCAGCATGGCCTCCTCTGGCTGCAAAGTGCAGCGGTGAGCTGAGCTGCCCGTTCAGCAGGTTGGGGTT